CGAGTGTCGAGCACCCTCTTTTACTTTCTTTTACCCTCTTTTTCGCTTTCTCATTCCAATTCCTTTTCCCTCTTTTCTTTTACCCGTCTATTTGCGTTGCTTCAACTTTGTCGTGCGCCTAGACTGATCATTGACGCGCTGAGGCGCAGAGACTGCTGGCACTGCTGGTAATGCTGCCACTCAGTAGTGTTCCCTCTCTGGCTGGTCAGCATCGGCTCATTCGCCGATGTGACAGTGAGCTTGTGTGGCTCTATTCTCCGCTGGCATTCTCTCCTTTTCTCTCATCTCATTCTCTTTCACTACTCAGTTTCCCATTCTCCCGTTGCCTACTTTGCAAATGGTTGCCTTAATTGAAAGCGACGCGTTAATACTGCTGGTGCTAGTGCTGGAAAAAACAGGGGAGAAAAAACAGCCGCCATCGGTGGAGCACAGGGTGAGCACACTGTGCACTGTCTAGGAAAGTGAAAGTGTTATCGATTGCTGGGCAGGCCAATTACTGCTGCTGATGGGGATGTGCAATCACAGAGTAAAAGCAGCTGCAGTGTACGAGAACCAGGATCAGAGGCAGCAACAGAATCCTCGACGACACTGCCACTCATTTCCGCGAGCTGCTGATGATGATGATGGCGGTGCAAGTGCTGCACTGATGCACTGTGCACTTACTGTTCACTGCACTAACTGCACCAACTGCTGCATCATAATCAATTTGCAAATTGGTCAAAGACAAAAAAGACAGTGTGCAGGGTTTTTTCCTTTACACTGCACTTTGACACTTTTTCTTCTTCTTTTGCCTCTAATAGTAGGCAATTTGGTGCGGGCACTGCTTTACAGTGCTCCATTTTCCAGTACTACCCTCTTTGCCTTTTAGTCGTTTTCACTGGTCAGTCTGTAGTGTCCTCGGGGTGACGGCGGCAAACTGCGGCGACGGCAGCAGCAGCCGCCGCCGCTCACTTTCCGCATCGATGGAGCTGCTTGTGCTCATTTTGGTGGAAGCTGCTGCTACCGCCTCAATCGGTTTCCCACTTTTTCTCTACTTTTTATTTTCCCCTCCTCCTCTTCTTTTCACTTTCTGGGACAAGTTCAACTGTGTGTCTTTTGCCCGCGTTTTTGCTAGAATGTGGCATTTGGTCCCTTTTCTTCCACCACCACTACTCAGCAAATGAGAATCTACTCTTCGTTTTAGCTGCCTTCTTGTCTGTCTGCCTGGCTGCAATTCCGGACAGTGTGAGCCAGTGTGTACTTTCATTTCCTCTCGCCCTTTTCTTTCTTTCTTTCCCTTTTTTCTTCTTTTGCCTGGCTCAATTTTACTGCGGTGCCGTTTTCTTTCTTTTTTTTCTTTTTTGCAACCGGGTTCTACTCGGCGGCGGTAGCAGCAGCAATTTACTGCGCTCAGTGCAATGAATGCGCTGATCCAGTGCACACAAGAACGACACTGTCGCCGGTCACTTCTTTTTGCCTGCTTTCAGTTGGTTCCTCTTTTCGTTCTTTTTTCTTTCCTCACTCATTTCCAGCAGCTGCAGCAGCATCCTCCTCTACTGCTGATCGGATTCAATCGAATGGATGCACACAAATTAGCGTGCAATTAGACGAGCTAGAGCAGGAGAAAGAGATGGAGAGGGAGAGACGGTCGAACGAGCAGTGCAGAGCCATGCCATTCAGCTGCCATTCATCGGCACTATCCGCCAGTGCTCTCCTTGATGACGCCCGTTCCAATCAGCTGAGCGACGGTTCTCTAATGATGATGGCACACCAGAGTTGAGGCTGTTGCTGCTGCTAATAAGCAGCAACGATCGACAAATGAGTGCACACCGACATTAGTCGGCTACTGCGGCGGCAACTGCTGCTGAAGACACTAGTAAATCAGAGACTCATTGTGCACTGACTGAGTGCACTCTGTGCTATGTGTACAGGAAACGGAAGTGTTGCTGCTGTGGTAGTCGTGGTGACGGCAGTGGCATTTGCTGTCTTCATTGCTCTGTCTTGAACTTTGCTTCCCGAAAAAGAAGACTGACTGACTGGGAAACAAGACAGGACAAGACAGGAGAAGTCAGTGCAAGCTTACCTGTGAAACTTCACTCACTCACTCACTCACTCACTGACTTTAGCAGCAGCAGCAGCAGTACAGAGCTCATTTGGCCGATAATTGGAAGTGACACGAGGGGAGGAAAAGAAAAAGAGGCTGCTGTCCTGAACAGCCATAGACCACCACACTCACTCAGCGAATCCTCTTTCAGTGCAGAGCACAATGTGCTCTCCCATCCCTTCTCCTTCTTCCAATCGATCTGTCTAGATCTGTCTACTGCTTTTCTTTTTTCCTTTTTTTGCTTTCTTCTTCTTTGTACTTGCCCGCTGAAGCAGACAGAGAGTAATGGCTGTGTCTTCAGAATGGTGTGGTCTTGGTGGTAGTGTTAGTCTTGTTGGTAGTGACTTTCAGTCAGACTATTTCTCTCTCTTTCGAGTTGACGCCAGAGCAGCAGCGTCGGCTGCCGTCACCGGTGCAAATTGAGTTTCAGTGCCAGAATGCGCTGAAGTGCTGCTGCTGTTTAGCAGAGCCTGTTAGGAAGAGGCTTGTTTCCTCACTGTTCAAATGCAATGTCATTCTCATCTTTGCGGAGAGTGGTAGAGTACCAGAGCACTCTCTTTCCTTCTTTCTTTCTTTCTTTTCCTTAGCTCAATTCTCTCTTTTTCTTTCCATGTGCACTTCACTTTTCGATTGCATTTGCCCCTGCAATCTGGCCGAGTGGCGGCCTTTCGGCTCTGGTTCTCCCTAGGCTCCCTCGGCTTTTGGCGTGCCTGATTGCCTTCTCATGTCTTCTGCTTCTTCTTCTTTATTTGTGCTCTAGTTTTTGCCCCTCATGCACTGCAACTAACACCACACAGCTTCTGAAATACTAAGATCGGTTTTTGTAAGCTGAAAGCTTTGCTTTGCTTTACCACCGTCACTCTCTTATCGTCTGGCGAATTAGGGCTGCACGGAGATGTCGTTATCGATTGAAGTGAGTGAGTGAGAGGGAGGGAGGGGGTACCAGAGAGAAAGTGGGAGCTCAATTTGATTAGGAAGAGACGCATGAAAGGAAAAAGAAAGTGAGAGTAAAAGAGATAGGAAGCTCCAGCCACTTGATTGCACTGAGCCAACAGCAGCAGTTTTAGTGCTGTCCTTCTTTTTCTTTCCTTCTTTGTGCTGGCCGAGTTGAGGGCGAGGGTTCCTGGTTGGTTAGTTGAGTTAGTTGCTGCTGCTTGTTCTTGTACGACTGAAGCAGCGGCAACAGCAGCTGCCGTCGTACGCGCCCTGAATTAGGTCTGACTGAGTGTGTGTACGGGCGCTCCTAAATGACGTGCTTCAGAATTCACTGTTCCAAAGCGTGCCACTTCTTTGCTTCTCCACTTCTCTCTTTGCACCCCTTTTTGCACTCCTTTTCACTTTATTTCTTTCTCGATTACTAATGCTAATTGGATCTGCTTTATTTTAATCATCTATACTGCAGAAAAGGCAGCACCCACACTGCTATCCTCTGCAGTAGTCGCCGAATCGATCGATGTTTTCTACCCACTCTTTCTCTCTCCTCTTTTTTTTGCTCCGGAGATTCTGCGGTTCTGCGGAAAAGCAGTGCACTCGGAATTGAAGCGAGTGCACTGTGTGATAGTGAGCTTGTGTGTGCGATGATGACGATTATCGATTTTATTGTGAGATGAGATGAGTATGTGCACTCTTGCTTTTGATTGCACTTGAGGCTTGCTTTTCTTTTTGTTGTTGTTGTTATTGTTGATTTGTGATTGCCTATTCTAGATCCTCTGATTTCTTTCTTTTTTGCATTGAGTGCCGATGATTCATTTCTTCTTGTTTTTTCTAACTAAACTAACCCGGGTTTTTCTTTCTTTTCTTTTCACAGTTTGCACATCATCTGGCACGACACCACTAATCTTCAATTGAAAGACAGTATATTCCAAGAGAAAAAACTGCAGTCCTCTTGCTCCTCCAAATGTCGTCACCACTGACGCCGGGCAGCAACAGCAGCAGTGGCAGCAGCAGTAGCGGCCATTCTCAGCAACAGCAGTACCTCCAGCACCAGCACCAAATATCCGTAAACAGCCCCCATCACCCTCACCACAGCCCCCACCTTTCCTCGCCCTACTACGACCACAATGGCCCTGGAAGCGTCCCGGGAGCGCAGTACGGCGGCAGCAGAAGTGGTTCGGCAACGCCCACCAGAACTTCAGCAGCAGCTAACTCTCCCTACCACGCAATAAGCTACAATCACAGTCCCAATCACAATCAGCAATCACCTTCAGTAGCCCCGTCCTCAGCAGGACCACACTACTCGCCCTCAGGAGTAGGGGGCATTGAGATTAAGCAGCGAATCTCACTGATAAACTCCTTCAAAAACTCTACCGGTTCTAGTGGTCATTCAGCTGAGATGAACTGGAACGAGTCGGGTTATGGTGGCGATGCGGGTGGATTCAATGGCGGCGGTGGTGGATCGACCCCAGGGGGCCACTCCACTCCGGGGCACTCGACGCCCGGTCACGCCACGCCCGGACACATGACCCCCGGACAGCCCCTCTCCGTGGACGGGGTCTACGGGAACGCCGAGGTGGAGGAGCTGATGATGGTGTCTGAGGTGCAATCACCCTCCCGAAATGTGATCACCACTCCGAACCATCACCCCGCCAGTCAGTCTCCCTTTGGGGGCAACAGCGGCAGTGCAATCTTTGTCCCCGAGGGCGTGGTCATTCCGCCGCGCAGTCACAGCGCCAGCTTTGGCTACCTCCCTCCGGGCACGCCCATTCACGCCGGAGGAGGGTCGTCTTCTTCTTCAAGCGGCGGCGGTGACCAGCCCTTGCCGCCCATGTCTGCGCCGCTCTCCAGTCACTCTGTGATCAGTCCGAATCATCCTGGAGCAGCTGGCCATCAGCACTACTCGGCGGCCAACTCTCCCTACGGACAGCAGCAACATTCGATACACTCCAATACCTCCTCTCACTCATCATCCTCCTCATCGATGACGCCACCTTCAGTGAAAAATGGAAACTCTTCGGGAGGAGTTGCCCTGCAAAGGCCCAATCAACCTTCCACTCCGGGCAGCTACCCAAAGTACCACAGCTGCGACAGCGTCGCATCCTCGGCCTCGCCCGTCACCTCGCCATTGTCCGCCGGTTCAACGAGCAATCACCCCACCACTACGACTGCTGGACTTCAAGTTCAACAGCAACAACCGGGAGGTCTTCAGCCGCCCACTCGATGTCACTCAAATTCGAGCGCAGCTGGGGCTCCATTAAACAACAGCGGCAGCAGTCCGAATACGCCCTACACCCCACTGAACGCGCCCATGACGCCTGGTGGAGGGCCAATGACGCCCGGACCAATGACGCCTGGAAATGGCGTAATTGGTAATCCCCGAACTCCAGGCGAAAGTCTGAAGAGGGACGAGTCCTCGACCTCCACTTGCGGTTCGCCCTTCCCCTCAAACACCAGTGACTACAATGCTCTCTTTGGAGGAAACGGTGCAAAACGGCCTTTTCCTCAAGGCAGCGCCTCACCGGCTTCCTCCTCGGTGAAACGTTCCCCTTCCTCAATGGAGCCAATGTCGCCCTACTCGAGCCGTCTGGCGGCCATGGGCCTGGCGCCCTCTCCGAGCTTACTTCAGGGCCGAAACTCGGCGTCATCGCCCGCTGCCGGTGGTCCTCCGGGAACGCCCTACGGCGCCGGCTCCTCAGCAATGGCAGCCACATTTGGCACGCCCTCCTCTTCTAGTCATCCTGGATCGGGTGGTCTGGGCCCTCCGGGCACCCCAGTTCCACCTGGCTACCCGCACTCCAACAGCAGCAACATCAGCAATCCCTACATGACTCCCAATCCGTACTCGCATCAGCCCGCTTCGGCCGCCTCCTCTGTAGGCTACCACGGTCCGCCCTCTTTTGGCCCCTTCAGCACTGCAACTACCGATTCTTCCTACTCTGAGGAGGGAATTGGTGGTGGTGGAGTTAACCCAAATGCTGGTGGAAATCTAGGAGAACTCGCCTTTGAGTCCGCCAATGACCTGAACATGATGTTTGAAGATGCTGATGAAGATGAGTCTATGCTCGGTGGTGGAGGAGTGATGGGAGGAATGGGAAGAAGCGGAAGCGGCAGTGGAAGCTTCCTCTCTCGCCGACTCTCCACTGCGGGCATGTACGCGGCGGCCGCCGCCGCTGGCGACTCCTCTGTTGCGCTGAATCCTATGGCACTGCTCCAGAATCACATCCGCCTCTTTGAGGAGAAAAGTCGGCTGGAGTGTGCTGCAGCTGAACGGGAGGCTCGCCTCGCTCGCCAAAAGATGATGATGACCAGTGAGCAGCAGGTGAAGCAGCAGCAACAACAGCAAGCCGCAGCTATGGCCGCCGCTCTTCAGGGCGCACTCGGTGGAGGCGGAGGTGAACGAGGACCCTTTGGGCCCAACTCTTCCGGTTCCTCCTATTCGACCAGTTCCAGTGGATATGAGCCAATCTATGCTGATGAACTTCTTATGCAGAAGTCTATGGGAGGTCCACTTTCCAGTCCTCCTCCACCATCCTCACTTCATCACCACCACCCCGGTCATCATCCTTCATCACTTCACAGCGGTGGTAGTGGTGGCGGACATCCTCTTCACCCTGGCCATCCTCATCACCCCCTTCACCACCCCTCACCGCACCACCCCGTGTCCCACTCTGGCAGCACTGGTCATCACCCTCTCTCCTCACCCCTCCATCAGAACTCCTCCCTGTCCGCCACCTCGTCGCCCTTCTCGCCAATGTCCCCCGGTGGTATGATGGAGAAGGCGTACAGCTCGGCGAGCAGGCACTCCGCCATGATGGCGCCCTACACGCCTGGAAGTGCTGGTGGAGGAGGAGGCAATGGAAGATCATCCACACCCAGTCACTACAACTCATATGAACAACTGTACGGCCCACACGGAACGCCAATGTCCGTTGGCCAGCAGTCGAGCACCTTTAGCTCCTCAGCTTCGAATTCACCCTCTACGATGACTAGTGGAGGTGGTCCAGTGAATGGGTCATCAGGTCTGTTTGGTCGAAGCAGCAGCAGTGGCAGTGGTGGTGGTGGAGGACTTTCCCATCATCACCAGCAGCAACAACAGCATCATAACTCCTCTTCGACGCCATCCCATCACTCGGCGGGCTACAGCTCAATGCCGTCGCCCTCCTCGCTGCCCACCTTCCACTCCTCCTTTAAGGCGATGGCCAGCAGCAGCAACAACAGCCAACTGAGGTCCGCTCTAAGGGCGGACTTTAATGATCTTCTACTAAGTAAGCAGCAGCTAGCGCAGCAGCAGCAGGCGCAGCAAGCGCAACAGCAAGCGCACTCGCACTCGCAAACGCACTCGCAGCAGCAGCAGCAAACGCATTCGCTCAGCGGTGGTAGCAGATCGCCGTACAACGGTAGCGGTGGTGCTGAATCACCACTGTACGATCGCGATCGCCACCCACTTTCCAATCACCTTCATCACCATCAGCAGCAACTCCCTCCTCATCACCACCCACCTCCTCTTCATGCGCATCATCCGCATTCACAGAACCCCTTTGAGATTCATCCACGACATCGGCATCACCACCATCATCAACAACAAAGCTCGGAGCTGTCCAGTCATCACCACCAACAGCAGCAGCAACAACAGCAGCAAAATCATCATCAATATCAGCAGGAGCAGGAACGGGAACGGGAGAGGGAACGACAGTTTCAGCAGAAACAGTTTCACCCTCAGCAGGCAGCAGCACTGCACCACTCGGGAATGGCCCTACCTCCCTCAGTGACCAAGACCGTCAATCCCATTGAGTCGATTACCTTTGATCCAAAGACGGGCATGATGAAGGTGCGCAAGAAGAGGGGTCGGCCGAGGAAGAATCCACTACCGCCGACGAGTCCCTTTTTGATTGGCGATCCAAGAGGAGGAGGTGGTGGTGGTGATCCAAGGGCAGGAGGGATGATGAAATCACCCGTTGGGGGTAATCCCTTCAGTTCACCCTCCTCTTCCTCTTCCTCGAGCATGAATTACCATAATCCTCACCACCATTCAAACAGTATGCTGGCTGCAGCTGCCGTTGCCGCCCACCAGCAACAAAATAACAACAACTCCTCAGCTACATCCTCAGCTCCCACTACTTCTTCAGCTGCGGCCGGCTCAATGACGCCCAAACGGGACGACTTTGAGGAAGGAGCTTCCTTTAAGTCGCTCTCTTCAGGTAAGATTAGGTTCACTCTTTCTCTTCATCATGATTCGAAATGTCAGAATATTCACCTCCTGGTTCAGAATCTTCAATTTGGTTCATTAACTGGTTCCTGGTGGCTGTTATTGCTAGCTTCAGCTTCAACTTTTATTCAACTTTTTTTGTTATTTTGGTTTTTGTTTTTGGCTTAATCGGTATTTGGAGGGGGTGAGACAGAAATGTATGCGTGTACTTAGCGGTTAACAGCAACTAGCAGCGCAGCGGCACACTAAACAACAAAAATAACCAGCGTACTTGGCGTTCACTACTAACACACGCTGCACATATTTGCGTGATGACGATGATGACGATGACACCAATATACTAACTCTCTCATTTACTTTCCACCAGACACTGACCCGTACGCCTTTCCCTTTGCCGATCACCATCAGCAATCATCATCCTCTTCTCAGCAGCAGTCTCAACAGCAGTCCTCACTGAACAGCAGCCAGTCTCGCAGCAGCAATCCAAACTCCTCCACTAGTCAGCACCATCGATCGTCCAGTCCCACGATGCAGTCCTCCCAGTCAGGGCACTCACCGTTTTCGCCGTCATCAGCTCGAGACAGAGATCGAGATGGTCGAGAGCGGGACCTAGATCGAGAGCGAGATCACCGAAGCAGTGGTGGTGATCACCACCAGCACCACCACCGAGGCAACACCAGCGCCGCCCAACACCTGCATCGTCTCATTCAGTCTTCGACTCTCGGTGGCGGTGGCGGTGAACGAGGAGGTAGAGGTGATCTCAATGACCTGCTCGCCCCGCCCGCCAAGAGGCCTCGAGGTCGACCGAGGGCCAACGACCCCAACCGGCCACCACCTCGACCGAAGGCGGCACCCTCTCTGGCCTCGCTCATTCCACCCATTCCCGGACAGCCAATGATGAAACGCGGTCGAGGACGGCCAAAGTCCCTAAAAACACTGGTCAAAGAGGCAGAAGCGGCGGCAGCTGCGGCCATGGCTCAAGACGGAAAGGTGCCCGATGAGCTGCTCGCCTACCTGGAGACGCAGCGGGCGGCCCTAGCAGCCCAAAATGCCACCAGCGAGTCTCACCAGAAGCTCGCAGAGCGTCATCAGATGATGAACATGAACCGGGGCGCCTTTGCCTCTATGATCATGTCCACTGGAGATGGCAGAAGTGGTGGTGGTCATGGTGGTCATGGTGGTCATGGTGGTCCTGGTCCATCTTCCTCTTCTTCAGGTCATCAGTCCTCTCGCTATCCTCCCGGTCATCCGCTCTATCAGCAGCAACAGCAGCTGCTGCAACATCAACAACAACAACAGCATCAGCAGAATCGACATTCCACCCTCAGTGATGTTCTTCATGCTTCTTCTCAATCTCAGAATCGAATGAGCTCCTCTTCATCTTCTCACCATCTCGGAGGAATGTCATCCTCTATGCACCATTCATCATCTTCCAGTGGTGGTGGTGGTGGTAATCACCCCTTCAAGGGAGTGCCACTGTACGATGCCGCCATGTCCAGTCAGCATCACCCGCATCAACAACAACACCACCATCAGCAACAGCAACTTCAGCATCAGTCTTCAACTGCGCCGGTGAACACCAGTTTCAAGGCGAACATTCTCAATCGCGAGAAGATCCGCCACCTCTCCGACTCGAGCAGCTCCTCCGACTCAAACAGTTCGGACAGCTCAGACAGTGACGATGACGACGACGACTCTTCGGACTCCTCCACCGACACTGACCACGAGGTAGGGAACAATGCCGGCAATGCAATGCTGGCCATGGCCACAAATGCTTCAGAAATGACGGCGCAGAAAAGCAGCAGCGAAAGCTCAGCAGCGAATAGCCTCGCAGCAGCAGCACTTTCTGGCCCGGGTCCTGGCGAGCGTGGTGACCGGCAGCAGCAGCAAACTTTGTTGCAGTCCACTTCCGCTTCAACAGTTGCTGACTCGCCGCCGTCACCACCGCCGCCGATGGACCGCCGGCCACTTGATCCAATCAGTACACTCACCCATTTGCCACCATTGAAGGCTCCCGGAGAACAACAACGACAGCAGCAGCAGCAACAACAACAACAACAACAACAACAGCTGGCTGCTCAAACTTCAGCGGCGATTTCTGGTCTTCAACAGCAGCAGCCGCTGCCGAGGATAACGCTGACCAGTTCGACGCCGGCATCGATTCTAGGTAGTGTGAGACCTGGGCTGCCTTCAATTTCAGCAACAACAAAGCCGAGCGTTGGAGGTGGCCTGTCCTCTTCGATGACCAAGGCGATTCTCAACAGCAGTCGACGGACTAAAAAGCCGAAACGAATTCGAGGGGCGAACTCTTCATCGGATGATGACGATGACGACGACGACGCCTCCTCGTACAATGGCACCAGCGAGGAGGATGAGGACCAGGATGACACCTCGAGCAGCGATGATGACGACGACGGACGCAAGGGTCGCAAAGAACGAGTTAAAAAGAACGTCGAGGAAGAGGACGATGACGACGATGATGATGATGCAATGGGCGATGTCAACGACGATGATGACGATGACGACGATGAAGACCTGGGCAAAGGGGATGATGACGACGAGGACGACGACGATGATTCCATTTCCTCCTTCTCCTCGAGTTCATCCACCTCGCAGCATCACCAGCGACACCGATCAGCTGGCTCATCTTCGGCTTCAAGCCGAGGACGAGGGCGTGGTCGAGGTCGTGGAGGAGGCGGAAGTGGAAGTAACAGTGGTGGGGCCAGAGACAGCTCTGGAGGAGGCCCTAGGACCGTTTCCACCACCACCACTTCTGGCTCTCGCATCTCCAGCGAGGAGACCGCCCTTCGCAAGGCCTTTGTGGCGGCCATTGCAGCTGCTCAGGCCGCTGCAGCAAACTCTTCAAACGCAGGCGGCGCTTCTTCTTCCTCCCCCTCCCTAGCTTCCATTTCCTCCTCCCTTTCAGCGACGACGCCCCCGTCGTCTGCGCCCGTGCCCAAGCGTCGTGGCCGACCACCGGGCTCTAAAAACAAGCCCAAAGTCCCACCACCAGGTACCTCTCTTCAGCTTCTAGGTCCCGGGTCGACGATGGCCACCGCTGTAAAGTCGACCAAACAGCTAGCATCCACTTCGGACAGCTTCTTTGCCTCGGCCCACCTCAACAGTCTGCACTACTCCGACGAGGAGGAGGACAACCGCCTGGTGGGCAACCACGAGATGTCGGCCCTTCATCGCCAGCACCTCCTTCTTCTGCAGGAGAAGCAGCAGCTTCTGGCACAGCAGCAGCAGATAGGCCCGGACGGCCTTCCGGTGAAGAAGAAGCGTGGCCGACCGAGGTCTCTTGACCGCCTGAATGCCGCCATTGCACTGCAGCAGAAGCGGGAGCTAAAACGACAGCAGCGACTGGAGCTGCAGCAGCAGCAGCAACAACAACAACAACTTCAGCAGCAGGGCAAGGTGCCCAAGCTGGTGCTGAAGTTCAACTCTGCGGAGAACAGCGCCACCATCAGCTCCTCCTCCTCTTCCAGTTCATCAGCTAGCGGCTCTAGCGGCAACTTCAGCAGCAGCAGTTCTACATTGGGCACGCCGGGCCGTTCGCCGATTCGAAGTTACCAGCACTCGGCGGCCTACCTCAGCCGGCACCAGCAGCGACCCCAGCCGCAGATGGCCTCGCCAGCACCGCTCACTCGTCAGGGCGCCCATCAACTCAAGTCGGCCGCCTACACCGTCAAAGTAAGCAACAACAATGGCGGCAGCAGCGGAAGCGGAAACTGCGAAAACAGCAGCAACAGCAGCAGCAGCAGCAGTTGCGGCAGCGGAAGCAGAAAGCAGCAGCAGCAGCGCGAACAGATGCGAGAATCGGAGGTGGACCGAGAGGTGGAGCGGAGTTTAGACGAAAGTGGTGGTAGTAGTGAAAGCGAAAGTCGTTCTCCTAAAGGTAGCAAAGAGAGCGTTGCACTAGTAGCATCTTTGGATAATCATTCAAAGGAGGAAGTGATCACCACCACCCCCTCCTCCTCCGGTTACTCCTCCTCACCTGCTAGCAGCACTAGATTGCGCACCAGTTCGATCTCTCGTGATGGTGGTGGTGGTGGTGGTAGTGGAATTGGTATTTCCAACCACCTAAACAACCATCACGATCACTACCCAAATCGCAACAACAGCAGCAGCAGCACTCGCTTACCCAGCAACTTGCACAACAGCTCGCAAACGTCCAATGCACTGCATAACGCAAATGCGAACGCAAATCAGATGCGAGAGCAATCGCAACAGCAGCAGCATCAGCAGCAATCGCAGCAGCAGCACCTTCCCGCGTCGCCCAAGCTGCGCATTAAAGTGCCCCGAACTGAAGCGGAAACTTTCGTCTGTTCGCAGATTGAACGCACGCTGGCTATTGCCGGTCGGAGGCGGTCATCGGAGACGGTCACTGCTGAGGCCAGCTCAAAGAAGGTGAACATCGAGCCACAACAACAGCAGCAACAGCAACAACCTAAAAGTAAGGCAGTTGTTGAACAACGGCCGACAACAACTCGCAAAGAAGCAGCTGAACAGCAAACTCCTGATGAGGACGTGATACCGATTCCGACTACAGAGGAGACGATCAGCGATCTGCTCGGCTACGTCTGCGACCTGGCCACCATTGAGGTGCTCACCGAGTGCTCAAAGTCGCCAGACGGTGAGGAACTGGTGGCGGCACTGCAACGAAAAGTCCAGCACGAGGAAGCGGTCGAGCGTCAGCAGCAGCAGCGGAAGCTACTCCATAGCCACTCCAGAACCTCAGAACCNGAACTGAAGCGGAAACTTTCGTCTGTTCGCAGATTGAACGCACGCTGGCTATTGCCGGTCGGAGGCGGTCATCGGAGACGGTCACTGCTGAGGCCAGCTCAAAGAAGGTGAACATCGAGCCACAACAACAGCAGCAACAGCAACAACCTAAAAGTAAAGCAGTTGTTGAACAACGGCCAACAACAACTCGCAAAGAAGCAGCTGAACGACAAACTCCTGATGAGGACGTGATACCAATTCCGACTACTGAGGAGACGATCAGCGATTTGCTCGGCTACGTCTGCGACCTGGCCACCATCGAGGTTCTCACCGAGTGCTCAAAGTCGCAAGACAGTGAGGAACTGGTGGCGGCACTGCAACGAAAAGTCCAGCACGAGGAAGCGGTCGAGCGTCAGCAGCAGCAGCAGCAGCGGAAGCTACTCCATAGCCACTCCAGAACCTCAGAACCTCTGGACAGTCATGGTTAGTGTGCGCGCCCGCTTTCGCCGAGCAGTTTTATTACTATTTACTCCTCTCTATACCATTCCTCTCTTATAAAAAAACTATCACACACAAATGAACCACACAAAACAAAAAACTAAATACGCCAAACTAACAAACCAAAACCAAAAGACCACAAAAACACGCAGAATTAAATCAGCAAATGCAGGACGAGCAGCTTTACTACTAAGCATCAGACGCAGCAGCAGCAGTCGCAGCAGCAGCCGCTTCCAAAGATCCCATTCTAATTCTGCATTATTATTATCATTACCATACCAATGCCCCACCTCACTGTTCCCTACTATCTCTATTTCCTCTCCTCTCCTATCTATCTTTCTATCCCCAAACGATCTTCAATCTCTCTATCTTCTATACCTCTATAGCCGCGACCACTGGCTTCTCGGCGACTGCGGGCACCACCACCACTACCGGAACCATCTCCGAGGACGACTTTGCCGTACGTAATCTGCAACTGGTTGAATTTGGCCAAAAACACCCTTCTACTCCTCAGCATGACTCCTCTTCCACCAACACCACCAATACAACTTCTGCTTCTTCTTCAGCCGCTGATGATGAAGTTGTTGTTGTTGTCTTGGCCAGTTCAAAGTCTACCACTACCACTACTGCCATTACTGATCATGCATCCCCAATCAATCACGATCATTCGTTTAGAGTTCCAGCGACACCGGTTTCTGCGGCAACGGCGGCGACTAACACTACCGGAGCAACAGGAGACGGACGTTGTACACCTAGCCTCCTGCAAGAAAGCGTAGTGCCATCAACTTTGACAGGAAATTCTCCAGCGATCCCGAATCCTGCAACCACCCTTCTCAACCAGCAGCAGCGTTTTCCCACCCCCGAGGCGATGTACTCCTTTCTCCACCAGCAGATGAGCATCGGCCCCAGCCCCTTTGCCAGCGAGGTGTCCAGCGATGAGCAGTCCAGTGCCATCAACAGCATCATCAACATTGGCCTGGAGGAGGAGGGCGAGGAGGAGGAGGCCGTCCCGCCGCCAGCTGACCTTCTCATCATCGACAACACCAGCTCGGAGCACCCGCTGCTAAGGACCTTCCTGGCAGCTGAACCCGAGTCGCCGGGCAATAATAACAGAAAGACGCCAACTCCTGCGGAAAAATCATCTTCACCTCCACCGGTCATTGATTTGGAGTTGTCAACAGCAACTGCTGACAAGGACAAAGTCTTGACGACCTTCATTGAAAAAGTGGGAAAGGACAGTGACATTGAAAGTGGCGAGACCTTGGTAATGATGAACTCTAGCATGGATTTTGATTCAGAGAAGATTGGTGTTAGCAAATCAGGGTCAGCTCCAACTCTGAGTGAGTTAATGATGATGCCACCACCACCACCACCACTTCCTGTGCCTGCACCACCGTCTTCACAATCTTTATCATCAGCAGAAGAACCTCCGTTGCCTCTGCCTCAGATGAGCCAGCAACCGCAGCAGGAGAACCTTCTTCTGTCACCTTCTTCTACCTTATCAAAGACACCGACCCTTGGATCAGTTGTCCACGATGACGATTTTCTCCACCTGGACTCAATCAATGATAATAGCTTGATGGATGATGAGAACTCTTTGCTTCAGCCTCCACCAGAGCTCAGTGCCGAGGACCTGTCTCAGCTGGAGTCATCGTTGAGCGTCTCTGACCTTCTGTCGGAAGTTGACGTGCCAGTGCCCATCACTCCTAACTCCTCCTTTTCCATGGCAGCCTCTGACCTGGCCCTGCTGGACAACCTAATTCAAACCGAGGAAGCCAACAATGAAGTGGTAGACTCGATCTTCAACAACAATGGAAGAGTGCAAACTCCAGCGGGGGCTGCTCCTCAGATACCTTCTTCTGCAGTGATACCACCGCCACCAGGACCAGTGCCGGCTGGACTGGCGCCTTACGCACCGATCCTCGGCATGTCAGAGCAGCTGGGCAAATTGCCATCACAACCTCTTCATCATGATCAGCAGCAGTTCCTTGGTCTGCAACAGCCACCACCTTATCAAAGGCTGCCGTACAACAGTCACTACCTTCAGCAGCAGCCTTTGCAGCAACGTTTTGTAGGCGGAGGAGGAACCTTCCTTCCATCGTTGCCACCGGCTCCTCAACACCCTTCTTTTAGTCACTCAGTAAATCGAGGTGGTTCCCTTCCTCCTCCTCCTTTGTACGCCGATCACCCCCATCATCCGAATCACTTTCGAGTGACTCACCACCCACCACAACAGCAAACTTCGTATCTGCAACAGCAGCTTGGAGCACCTTCTCATCTTCCTTCTCAGCCTGAGTTCCACCATCAACAACGACTGACAACTCGTTACCAAACTGAGGTCTTTGTTGGAGGAGGAGGTCGTGGACCGCCGGGCATTCCTCACTGGAGCTACCAACAACAACCGCAACATCAGCAGCAACAGCAGCTGCAGTTCACCTCTCCTCGGCGAGCAATGTTCAGCAGTCGTGAAACGCCTCCACCGGGCCTGCTCATGCACGCACCAGCGCCGCAGCCCTATCACCCCACACCGCTAGAGCGGGAGATTCAGCGGCAACGTTTGCAGCAACAACAGCAGCAGCAGCAAATGTCCGGTCACTTGTACGGCCATCCACAGCAGCAGCTACAGTCTCGTGGTCTGCTACAGCAGCCGCCGCCACCGATGATGCAATCATCATATCCACCACCGCCACTGTACGGCAGTAGACACCACCACCACCAACAACAGCTGCCTTTGGGTCGGCCTGGCCTACCACTACCACCTCAGCCAATCATTAACCGTCCACCTGATTACCGTCTTCCCGAATACCAACTCCCATCTCCATCAGCAGGCCTTACCAGACCAGGCCCTTATCTCCCGCCAGCAGCACCACTTCACGTCCCAACGAGCCAGCCAGCACTTCAGCTCTACAACCCCGAGTCTCCGCCGCCACTGTTCAGCAGTCAGGAGGAGCAGCAGCGGCTAGAGGACCAGCTCATTCTGGAGCCCATTCCACCGCCTCCCATTCCATCGCCCCAGCTGGGCCCTCGCCATCAAACCGGTCTGGTTTTGCCTCCTCCTCAGCACCACTTTTCCGCCTCACCGCCAAATCCCAACGCCCCCACGCCAGGCTCGGCTTTCTTCAGCAGCGTTGCGCCTCAGATTCGCGCCAGAACGCCCACATCGGCCACTTCCTCTTCTTCCTCTTCGGTGTCTCAGTCGGCGCCCAACCTCAGTCAGCTGCTGTCGTCAATCAACCCGGTGCCGCTGCCTTCGTTGTCCTCTTCGCCTTCCTCCTCGATGGCCTTCATCGATGACCACCAACTTCGACAGAAGATTGTCCTCGAGGCGAAGCAGCCGACGATGATCAGAGATAAGATAGAGTCAAAGTTGCGAGGACTGGTATGATCACCAGCATCATTTTTGTCTTTTTGTACAAAATTTTACTAAAATTTTCTCTCTTTTAGAACTCCTCTGAAACGCTGGCCAGTCTGCTCAGTGCCAATCGACCGCCGAGTGGCAAAGGCATTGGAGCGTCCACTTCTTCAACCTCCACTTCATCCTCCACCGGAAACAACCAACTAAAGGACATCCTCACCGAGGCCATGGAGTCGATTCACCACCTGGACAGTGACGAGGTGCAGAGACTGCTTGGCTCCTCGTCGACGCCCAACTCTTCGGCCAACAAGTCTCGGCGAACCTCCACAGCAAGCGACTTTTCCTTCTCGGCGCTAGGACAGGTTTGCACCATCAAAACACTTCTTTTTCATTAAGATCACTCTTGTACTAAAACCCTTCTTTTTATAGTTGAACAACGAGTCTAACAACTTCCTCGACGACCTTTTCAGTGACTCGTACAACTTTAGCGCCGGCGGTGGAGGTGGCGGCGAATCGACACGAGACATTGAGGAGGAGATTCGACAGCTCGAAGAGTTTCAGAGTGGCTTTGACATGGGAGGTGGTGAAGAGAATTCCTCCAATCATGCTCCTATTTCAGCCCTGACCAGTACACTGGCGGCCGCTCTGAGCCGACGATCATCTCGAAGTTCAGCCTCAGGCAGCATCAGCGGGCCGACCACCTCAGCCGACCAACTTCTGGTGACTATTGTGGAAAAAAGTTTGCTCACGCTGGACGATGCAAATGCTGAAGATAATCCAGAAGAAACAACAGCTGCTGCTGTTTCCGAAGTGGCCAGTCCGGAAGGAAGCTCTGGAACGACCATTCGCTCGCTGATCTCAGAGATGGTCAACAGCGTGGAGGACAGCTCAAACACGAGCAAGTTGGCTCAAAATTTGGCGGACAACGAGTGCGAGCAGAGTCTTCTCGGAGGTCTGCTTGATAGTCAGTTCAAAGAGAGTGGAGTTGGAAGTTCACCTTCTGGAGTTGTTGGCAAGTTTGGCAGCGTCACGCCTGCCCATCCGCTAATGGCCTCACTGATGGCCCCGCCGCCAGCCATTGTGCCGGCAAAGCCCAGAGAGCAGCTGCCCAAAGTGAGGCCAGAAAAGCCTAGTAAAATCACCCTCAAGTATCTGCTGGAGACGATTGACGGTGACACCGATGATGACATGGCCGATATTTCCCCCTCAAAGGTGCTGACCGCCTCTTCGGCGCTCTTTTCAGCTGCCAACATAAGGCCTAGCACCACCAGCAACATTACATCATCATCCTCAATAACCAATTCAACAACAAATGCCACCACTACCATCACCCCAGTTGAAAAGGATGATGAGGTGGTGATACTGCCCACTCCACCACCACCCCCTCCACATCCACTTCAGCCAGTTTTGACGACACCATTTGATGATCATCCCTCATCACTGCTCATTCAGCCAGCTCAGCTTTTTGACAACGCCATTCAGCAGTACGACAATGTTGTTGAGCCAACGGAGGCAACAACAACAGACGCTGAACAACAACAACAGACTGGGCTTGAATTTTCAGGCCTCTCTGAATCGTCGTCATCTTTTCTCCAGCCAATCAGCATGCCCATCATGTCGGCTTTGAATGCCCTTGAATCTCTCGACAGCCATCACCATCAATTGCAGTTTCAGAATTTCAGTCCACTGGCACCGCCGCCGTCCACATCCGATGATGCTGTAGTTGACTATCTAACTGACCTTCAGCCGGAGCCATCAGATCACCAGCAGCAAATGCTGTTGTTGTCAGAGAATAGTGCGAGTTTGGCTCCTGAGATTATTGATCTGGAAAAATCTGAATCGATCAGTGTTGATCTAAAAGTGGCTCCACCAACCGATGATGATTCTCTGGAAAAGGAAAAGTCAACAACAACTGATTCCAGTGACGACAAGGACCGACCACCAAGTCCCGAGCAGGTGTGCGTCGAGCTGCTAAACGACATTGTAGAGATGGCCAGCGACAAAGTGTCTGATGATAGGAGAGAAAAAGAAGGTGATGATCATCAACAACCACCTCAGACAGAGACCATCACTGATGTAGGACTTGATAAAACGGCCGATGAAGACGTCGAAGTGTCAAAGCTCTTTGCGACCACTTCAAACTTGGTCGCTGAGGCCGCCGCCGCCAAACGTCGTCGCTCCCTGGAGCTCTTTGTCAGTCTGACCACCAACAACCACTCAACCAAAAGTCCCTCTCCTCTGATCAGCTCAACTAGAACTGGTCGTTCGAGCAGCTCTCTGGAGGCGGTCGATGAGCTGATGACCATCTTGGGCTCAGCATCGACGTCACCCTCAAAAGATGGAAAAGCACTGACTGAATCACGATCTACTCCCGAATCTCGGTCCGCCTCACCAAACGTTTTGATGGACGCCAATAACAGCACAAGCACCAGCAGTGAGCGCCGACGATCACCCACGCCCATCATCTCCACCACAGAGGGCACCGGCTCGAGTTCTGCCTTTGAGTTGCACTCACCTTCATTACCGCACTTTGAAGAAGAAGATAATGATCAGTCAATGGACCACCAATTTGGTTCACAACTGTCACCTAGATCATCACCATCACGACCACTTTTACCACCAATGTCCTTTCGAGCCCGATCTCGATCTCTGGTAATCGATGTGCGCAGTCACAGCAGCGGATCGGAGTTGAGCTTAAAGACGACGACAACGACCACCACCACGACAACTGCTGAGTTTTCATCTCGACTGTACAACATCAACAACAACAACAAACGAGTCAAAAGGGGTCAGACGGTTGCTGATAAACCTTCAAAGAAGGCCCGGATTGCCGAGTTGATAGACAGCAAAAATACCGAAAACAGTCGAGGTGATAAGGATGATGATGACGATAGTGAAATAACCGAGTCCAACAGCAGCAGCAGCATCACCACCGACACTCGCAAGGAGCCCAGTGTCCAACATCCTGACATCTCCTCTTCAGTGGACGACCGGCCCAATCTTTCGGTCTTGTCTTCACGATCTTCCGCCGGCAGTTGCAGCTTCAAAGTGGCCGCTCAACATCGACAGTGCTGCTGTGGCCGCTCAGAGACGATGCTCTTTGAAGAGGAGGAGGAAGAAGAAAAGAGGGAAAATGCTGAAGAAAAAGATGAAGAAGAGATGGAAGGCTTTTTACGAGGCAAAGGATCATCATCATCCTCACGACATCATCCTCGAAGGTCATGTTGCCATCGAGTGGGAGTGAACTCCAGCGCTTCGCTGGCAATGCCCACTGAGACGTCCTCTTCTTCCTCTTCATCATCCTCATCCGTGATGACCGCTTCGATGACCTCTAGCTCTCGAAGCCATCACCACCACGGTCATGGAAAGCTCCTCCCGCCACCGGTCACCATTCACCACCACAGTTCGGCGGGTCACATTCCCACAGTGTCAATCAACTTCAACGCCGAGAACTCCACCACCATAATTCACATTAACCCAAACAGTAAAAGTACTGCAAATGAAACTGAAAGTAGCAATTCTACTACTTCAGCCGCCGCCTCAAAAGAAGCTCTTCCTTCTGAAAGTGATTCAGAAGGTGACCAGAACAGCCCACAACATGATCATTCAACATCATCAACATCATCAGCAGCAGCAGCTCTTGACGATCTCTAGAGCCCACCAGACACCTCCAAAAAGAGACATATCAACTCTGATCACCACCACTACTTCATTAAAAAAGATTGCTTTCAGCTGCAACTCTCACCATTCACCATCACTCACCCAATTTACAACGAAAATTTCCAAAACAAGTGCAATTAAGTCTTTGTAACTGTCCTTTCTCTCTTTGCTCTATCTTTAGTCTCTCTGACTTGACTTGAACTTTTCGGCTCTAGTTTCTCATTCTCATCACATCTTCTCATTGAGTACAAAGTCACCTCATCACCATTACCATCATCATCACACATCTCTCTCGCAATGTTCTCACTGTTATCACCACCTTCACCCTCACCATCATCCCTTTGTTCCTCACACCGTTCAATTCCACTTGGCAATTCTTTGGCTTCCTGTTTTTTGCTTCTCTTGTACCCCTAAGCCGTTTCACCCATACACTTTCCCATACCCATCACATTTGCATTTCTTGATTCTCCCTCCTCTTCACTTTCTTCACCAGTCAGAATTGAACTTTCTTCCTGTACAGAACTTTCTCTTTCACTCCTTGTTTCATTTCTTCTTTCTTGTGCAAACCATCAGACTTGTCACCATTTAAAAAGATCTTTTCATCACTATTGTACTATCTTTGTAAAATAAAATGATTTATTGATTTAGATTTTGTTCTCCTGTGTGGCTGTTTACTCAATGATAGAAATCTCTTACTTTACGATAAACCTGTTTTTGAAAAGGTAATGATTCAGTACCTAAAGCCCCCTGCTAAATTTAGCAGTAATTACTAATACTTTGTCGTATTGTATCGTTAACAACGATATCCTTGTAAAGTAATTTTTTTTCCTGAAATCAAAACTTTACAATATAGATAAGAAAGTTGAATACTTTTGGTCAGTAAGGGCTAGTTCAACAACTCTCATAAGGTGGTCTGCAGATTAGGGGACCTAGCGGATTAGCTGACCAACTAGTGCTGAGCCCCCGCAGCTCTAGGTCCACAAAAGTAAGAGAGGCCTGCACATGCATTGGCACATGCACTAGAGTTTTCCAAAACTAAAAACTAACACTTTGTAGCGGTCGCGGTAACTACAACTTTAAAATTTTTATTTTTGTTTACATATTTTTTGGTTTTTAAGTTTTTTCGACTGACTTATTTTAGCAATTAACATTTCACCGCTTAGATAAATCATGCGTAATGTTTGGTTAACAGATAAAGAGGTGGATGAGCTTTGCAAAAAGTTTCGAAGCACAATGGATAAACTTTACAACAGCCGTAAATTGAATCAAAATTTTGCTATTTCATTTCATGAAAATTACGAGTAAGCATTTTTATTATTTCTAACTTTTCTGAGCATTTTTGTAAAAATACACTTTTTGTCTAATAGTTTAGTTTATAGATGTTGTATTTCAAAACACCATCTAAAAATTTACCAAGAAATAAGTAATTTTCTCACGGCTCAACTTAAAAAACTTTTTGCGGTATTTCAATTTTTGTTCAATATTTTGTATAAACTAACTAGAATTTATAAAAAAAATTAAAACTGTTTTTAGGATGCTGCTAGTCTGACGTCTTCTGAAAAAATATTCAACTATACAGCAAAACACTGGAAAAGTTTTCAAATATTTCTCAAGCTTTTGAATGACGTTTGCATGTACTTAAACGGCTGCTCAAATGAAAACAAATTGAAAACAATTTACAAAGTCAGTTGTATTTTAAAATTATTTTGAAACATTTTTTAACACTTTGCCATCTTTAGCTTGGAATCGACTGTTGGCAAGAGGAGTTCACCAATGCCAATGGCCTAAACCAACATGTTTCCAACGTTTTGCTAAACTGCATCCAAGAAAAACTCAAATACAGTGAAACACTTGGCGAAGCTGGCAGCGACACTTACAATCTAATTGAAAATGCTCTAAAGTGTTTTGGTAAGCATCGCACTACCGATTAAAAACTATAAATTTTTATATTTATTTTTTAATTTTCTAGGCATTGAAAAGGATTGCGTAGAATTTACTTTTAAGGCCTACGCTCAAGCAATTCAACTCGCACAAACTGAACTTGTTCTGTTGAAAAACTGCACATCGACAACGACATCGATCATCGCCAACTTTAAGTCAATGCTAGAGTTGTTCAAAAACTTAAAACTGACTCAAACTGAATGCACTAGTAAACTAGTGCCAAACCCTCTACCTGAGTTTCTGCTCTCCCAAATCAGGCAAATCTACGAGACGGCACTGTTTGAAGATGATCGACTGGCGACCACTGAGAAAGTTTTCACCAGTTTTCTCCTTCTTTTGCCTCAACAACTAAAAACCGATGAAAGTAAAAAGGTGCTCAAGTTGCTAAATGAGCTGTTCAAAGAGGTGTCCACAACTCCTACATTGCTGATTTGGTTTCAGAACAGCCTAGAAGAGCACATTTACCAGCAAGGAACCGGAGCACTTGCCAATCTGTCAAATTCTGATCAACAGATTTCAGAAGAGTATGTCAACGCCATTTTACAGGTGCATCGGCAGTTCAGCATCTTGGACAAGTGTGAAAATAAATACATTGATGCTGTCAAAGATAAGGTAAAGCATTTTTATGCAAAGTTTTTTTTATTAAAACGACCGCTTTTAGGCTTTTAGACGATTTATCAACTGCAATGCAGTCACCACTAGAAAATCCTCGGTCTCCGAGCTAGTGGCACAATTTTGTGACCTTTCACTAAGGAAAATTGCTGAATGCTCGAATCCGTCTCAAGAAACATCTCAAACTTTTGAAAACATTCTCAACCAAGTGGTATATGATTTTTTTGCTACAAACTTTTCTGTTATTTAAAAAAACTAATTGCTCTTTAGATTACTGTTTTCCAGTACATTACCGACAAGGAGCCATTTGAGCAGTTGTACCACAAAATGCTGCTAAAACGGATGATAAAACTGGAGAAAAGTTTCATTGAAGTTGCAGAAACTAACATGATTTCCAAGTTGAAGGTAATTAAAACAACATTTTTGAAAAATAGCATTTTAAACATTTTATTTTGTGATTTGCACAGCAAACGGGTGACCTACTTGACCCGGCCAAGCTGGAGCGTACGCTTCAAAATGGAACAGAAAATCGAAAGCTAAATGAGCAGATGATAAAAGAGAAGGAGAACTCTAAGGATCCGCTCCCCATAGCAGATTTTTCCGTTCAGGTGTTTAACTGTTTAGTTTGGCCCTATCAAAAGGAGCTTAGCACTACTACGTCATTTGTCCTTCCAGAAGAGGTAATAGTAACTTTTGAGTTTCCTAACATGACTAATCTAACATTTTTATTTTTAAGCTAAAAAATTGCGTCAGTCGCTTTACCCTCCTGTACAATGGTCAGTTCAGCAAAAGAAAACTTCACTGGCAGATGGACATGTCCGTTGGTGAACTGAACGTGGTGGTTAGCAGTGACCAGAAACCAACAACTTTGAAGGTAGAATAACCAAACAATAAAAAAATTTTTGAAACATTAACCTTTATTGAATTTCTTTTGCCTCCAAAACTAGGCAACCACCTTCCAAATGGCTGTTCTACTGGCGTACAACACCACCGACCAGTTCATTGTACGGCAACTTTACAAAAAAACAAAAATCGCCGTAAACAAGCTCATTCAAGTGCTGACCAGTCTGCTTAAAGCTAAGCTTTTAGTAGTTGTAACTGAAAAAGTGATCAGCGACAATTGTGAAAAAGAATCCAGAGCAAAAGAAGTCAAAAGTAATTGGCCAGTTCTGAACTTGAATAGCGTTCTCTCGTTGAACCTNCTTTGTTACTGTCCCTGTGCAGCGAAAAAGTTGCACGCCCCGGACCTGCAACCAAATGAACCGCTTACGAACCGTAGNCGACGCAATGTCAACATCAGCAAACACTACTCAAACTCTTCTGCTCAAAAAATCGTCGAAAAGACGATCGAAGCAGATCAGAAATTGGCCATTCAGGCAGCCATTGTGCGAATTTTGAAGGGCTCTCGTAGTTTGGCCCACCAGCAGCTGTTCACTGAAGTGACCCTGCAGTTGATGTCACGTTTCACACCAAAAGAGGCCACAGTTCAGGTACGAGTGTTTGTTTTCCAGCCAAGATAATCAATTTTGCTAATACAACCTTATTTTTTTCTTTTTCAGCAATGCATCCGCATACTCATCGACAAAGAGTACATCAGAAGCACACAAAAGTCATCATCATCAGCTTTAGCTTCAAATCCGCACACCATTTTCTATCAGTATTTGGAATAAAGAGACAGACACATGAAAAGATTAAAAATTTTAAGTTTTAAAATACTAGTAAAAATTAGTAATAAAAATTAGTAATAAAAACAAGTAAAAGCATCACAGTATATGAACAGTAAAGAGGAGTGTGAGGGGAAGGGAGTGAATGAGAGTAGATGCTTTCAGTATAAAGGAAAATGAAAAGATGAAAGCTGTTGTTGCTGCTGCTGCTGTACAGCAGCTGACGTGACTTTTGTGCAGCCAAAGAGGTGAGCGCGTTAGACGATGTAAGCGTACACCGGCTCCTCACTTTCAACCGTGTAGTCGGTGTCGTCTTCAGTGCCCGATTCATCGCCGGACTCCTCGTCAGACTCTTCGTCAGACTCTTCGTCAGACTCGGTGTCTGAATCGTCTGAACTATCGAGGGAATATTTGGTAACAACGGAATCGACATCGTCTTCATCCGAGTCCCCGGAATAGTCCTCATCGGAAGATGAATCGGATGAGCTGCGACTGTTCTCCTCCTCCTCCATCTGAATAGCCTCATAGGCGGGCGGTGGGCTCATTCCGGTCGGCTGGCTGCGCTTCGGCTGAACCAGTGGGCGTTCAACAACATCTCCGCCCACCGAAACCGAAAGAGTAACTTGGGGAACTTCGTTCTTCTCCTCCTCCTTCTGCTGTTCGCCGAATACCACCTCTTCTTTCTTGCCATCCTCAGTCACAAAGAACAGAGTGAGGGAGACGTTGCTGTTTGGGTTCTTCTTGTTGACGCGGTTCTTGTTGTTGCCGGCCGATGGGAGACAGAAAATACCGCAGACCGTGCCGCAGAAGAAACAGAGGAAAGCGAACAGCGTGATAATGGTCAGTCCTGGAGTTAGGACAGCAGAGAAAGAGGATGAGAATCAAAGGAGTAGACAGGACAGAATGGGACAAAATAAAAAGACAAATTGTGACAAAGTAAACAAACAAACGAACAAACAGAAAAACACTTTTACTCACCGATGATGAAGGCCACTTCTTCGTTGGAGAGGTAGTTTGAGACGTGGCTGGAGAGTTGGCCGAAGATGAGGTTGCCGGTGCCCTGAGGAAAGTCCTTGACCTGCTGCTGCTGGAGATGTCCACAGTCGACGTTGTCCAGACTGGTGGCCTCGGTAGTGAAGGGGGCAAACAAAGTGCTGCTCACCAACTCCGCGATACTGATGGTTTGTGGTGACTGATGGCAGTTAATGCTGCTGGTAGCGTCACCCTTCTGCAGATAGCTGATCCAGAAGTACCAGGGAATGAAGAACATTTTGGAGTGAAAAAGAGAGATGGGAGATAAGAGTGGAGAAGAGAGGTGTTTTGAAGAGTTGGAGAAAAGAGTTTGTTGCTGGTAACGAGTGAAAGTGAGAGAGTACTGAAGTCGGCGAGAACGTGAGAGAAAGTGAAGGGAAAAGTGAGCTGTCGCCAGTACAAGTGACAGAAAATCGTGGCCGCTTCTACCTTTGCTGATTCAGACACTGTCACCTTTGACTCGTCATCATTGTGAACTTTATTTTTCCACCCGCTCATATTTACACCTGTGTTTACATACGTGTCCCAAGAAACAGAGAAGCAGGAAAAAACTAATAAAGGATGAAGCTGAAAAGAAAAAGAAAGAGGAGAACGCTCAGAATGAGTGATGGGAAACTGGGAACTTTGGCAAAGTTTGGTTCGGGAGTTGGAGTGGGAGGAGTAGGAGGAGGTTTTGGTGTTGGAGTTTGCGTTGATGGCTGTGTTGGAGTTTGTGTCGATGGTTGTGTTGGAGCTTGCGTTGATGGCTGTGTTGGAGTTTGTGTCGATGGTTGTGTTGGAGCTTGCGTTGATGGCTGTGTTGGAGTTTGTGTCGATGGTTGTGTTGGAGCTTGCGTTGATGGCTGTGTTGGAGTTTGTGTCGATGGTTGTGTTGGAGCTTGCGTTGATGGCTGTGTTGGAGTTTGTGTCGATGGTTGTGTTGGAGCTTGCGTTGATGGCTGTGTTGAAGCATGAGTCGGTATTTGGGATACCGTTGAAGTTTGCGTCGGAGTTTGCGTTGAAGTAGTCGGATCAGGAGTTTTAGAAGGCGTCACTGGGTCAGTTGAATTTTGAGTAGTAGTGGTGGTGGTGGTGGTGGTGGTGGTGATAGTATCTGGTATTGGGGTTGTCGTCGTCGTCGTTGTTTTTGTTGTCGATTCATCTGTTTCAATTGTTGTTGGTTCCTCTGTAGGCGGTGGCTCCGTAAAGACGGGGCACTCAGCTGGTTTGGGAGATGCCTGTAGATTAAAAAGTTGAATAAAAACAAATCAAATTGCTAGTTTCAGTTTTGTTTACCTGATAGTCGGAGCACAGTGCTCCAGCTAGGTCGTCTACGCTGGACAACACTTTTCCGTTGATGCTCACGGCGGGAACTGAAAACGGAAAAATGTTATAGCAAAACATAAAACACCGAAACACTTTTAGACACTTACACTGCTCAACCCTAACTCCACTACCGAGCACACTCTCAGTACGGTCCTTCATAGCGAGAAGAAAGGGCAGTTTGCTGTCCACTGAAGCACATTGCCAGAGTTGGGTGTAGCTGTCCAGCGGAGAAAGTTTGGGCGAACAAATCGCAGCCGTTTCCAGCGGATTTTGCGCCCAACTGCTCGACTCAAAGAAGCAGAGGACAAAGTTGACCAGTCGCTGGTCGTCCTGTCGCCGTCCACTCTGCCCATTGCCCATCTGTCGGGTGGCACAGGCGAGGACTCGGTTGGCGAGGCAGCTATTTTCAGAACCAGAGCTGTTTCCTCCCGTACTGCAGCTCACCGAGCCATCGGTGGCATTGTACAAAGAGCCGCCCCAAGGCGTAAAACGCCACTGAAGGACATCTCGAAGGGCGAGGTTTGTTGAGGTGTTTGTAGATGAATTGTTGTTTCCATTGAGTAAAGTTTTTATCTGTGACTGTACAAACGCCTCAGCAAATGCGTCAGCGTTAAAAAAGATCTCCAGTTGAAAGCTTTGAAAGGAACTTTGATCAATGGCGCCTGAAGTGCAAAGTCGAGGTTTCACCAAAACTTCCGATTGGTTGACAAAGCCAATCTGACAAATGGTTGGCAGCAGCTGGTCGCCCACTTTCTCCGTCACCAGTTGGTCATTGAGCGTCACCTGCGGAACTGTGATCAGAGAAATAGCTTCGGTTTTGCTCCTCAACGTCTCTCGCATCGTGGTGTCCTTTTCGGAGCACTTCAAAATAGACGGCCAGTCGTCTTCGCCGTAAACTTTTTTAGCGCAACTTTCAGCGTCAAGGTACGCGTCACTTTCACTTGTTTCTCCATTTTTAGAAATGGTGCAAATGAAAAAGCTGATAAAGTTGTACTGGTCCTCCAGTCGGTCAGCGTTGTAGTGGTTCTGCAGAATGCAACCCTAAAAATTTTTTCAAAAAAAAGTTTAAATTGTACTACTTTAGACTTTCAAAAAAAACTTACGTGAATCCAATTTGCTTGGCAAACCTCATCTGAAGTGCAGCTGTAGTTTCCGCTATCGGCATCAAAAAGCGTCGTCCCGTAGGGAACAAACTGAAAGTCGGCCAGGTTTTCAAAGGGCGCGTAGGCGGCAAGAGACTCAAAATGCTCAAAAGCTTTTTGCACCTCACTTGATCCGGTCTCGTAGAAAACCGTCACTATGGGTCGATCAACTTTGCAGCCTTGCGTCTCACTGTCTACTTGGAGGTAGTTGTAGCAGAGCTCACCGAGGAGGTCTTTCTTAGCATGATCACTTTGCAGGTCGTTCCTCACTGCCACTTCAACGTTGGACGCCGGTTTACCATCCAAAAGAAGATCGAGTCGGTTTTGGAGAAGCTCAATCGCCGGCATGATGCTGTCAATTGCGGAGATGCAGTTCTCAATGTCGGTGAACTGGTCGTCAGTGGTGCACTGGCGGACGGCCTCTTTTCCGTCCATTTTGCTGATCTCTTCAGTTATTATCTGCTCGGCAAAGGTGCACTGGATCACCGCCAGCTGCTCCTCACCGGCAAAGTTTTCGTAGATGCACCACTGAAAATTTTTAAAAATAAACAGTTTTAATCAAGTTTTCGTTATCAATTTCAATTAACTCACATGTGCACGGTAGTTCCAGCACTCCTCAGTGCCATTGCCCTCATCACCTTGGCAGGCATGTATCAGCTGTTTTGGATTGGGCATCACGTCCAGCAGAGAGGTTGTATTCAGAATTTTTTTTGCAGAAGCTGAGTTGAGCTGAGAGGAAAAGAAATCAGCTGTTTCTTTTTGGTATACGGTGTAGAAGAGCTGTACGACGGGTTCTCTGTAAACGTGCACCGACTCACAGGACCAAATAGCGGTCGGATTCTGAATGAGATCAAGTTAATTGATGAGCAAAAGCATGAAAATCACTTACGTTAGCACGACAGATAGCCTTCTTCAAGTCCACCGCAGCCAGAACCGAGTATTCAAAGTTTAGGTCTACACGAACCAGCAAATTCTCTTCACCTTTAAACCTAGGCAGTGAAAACGAGCTCCGCACAAAATCGTAATAATCTTGTTGACTGTAGTAGTTTTGAGCACAAGCAGTTATAGTTTCCCAACTAGTTTCATCATTATCCTGAATTTCGAAACAGTACTGACTAGCGTGCAACAGGTCAAGGGGAAAATGCTCCGATTTGAAAAAGCATTGTAGAAAGGTTATCATGTTTGGTGTCGTGTCTTGGATGCAGTTCTGCAAACAAAATGAGAATGAATAAAATGAGAAGTGTAACGGGAAAACAAAAATTTAACAACTAAAAACTTACATGAAGCAAACCAATGTAGCAATTGTTTCCTTTTGCTGTACAATTTAAAGTTCCACCACTGCCCTCAATTTCGTTAATCACCATTCCTCGATAAGGATAGGCGGCCACCACCACTTTGTCACTTTGCTCTTGAAGCTCAGGAAAAAGCTGAGACTCGTAAAAGTCAGCATCGGCGTCGCTGTCCACGCGGTAGTAGTGATCAATAAAAACTGGTCTTTCTTCATCTTGACCTACTGTAAAGTGAAAA